CTCCGTAAGGACATGGGGCACCCACACATCGAGCTTCGAGGTTAAGCCCATGCCTTTCAAATGGCCATAAACAGTCGAATTCGACAAATTTAATCTCTCACCGATTTCTCGTGTGGTTATTCGCCGATTTGCATCAACTAATGCCTTTATCGCATCTTTGTCAGCTTCGACCGGCCTTCCAGACCGTGGTGCATCTTCGACATCAAAATTGCCAGATCGAAATTTTGTAAACCAGTTCTGGCACTGGCGTACTGTTAACACGCCTTCTCCATACACATCCGTCAATTTTTTTCTAGCTTGGACAGCATTTTTACCTTTTCTGAAGTAAAAAAGTAAAATATGACGAAAATGCTGCTTATTGCTCTCCATATTTAAAAGGGCACCAACCAAAAACTACTGCGTAGAATTAATAGAACTTTTTCACACACAAGCCTTGTAATATCAGCTCTCAAGACATATAATGGTTATGCGGCTTAAGTGTGAAGTTGGTTTCGAAAAAACGTAATTAAGTCCTCTGACGGGAAAAAACGAAATGACTTTCCGAACAACCTTATAATTTATTGCAATTGAATAAGATCACGTCAAGTGGACCCCCCATTTACCACTTCATCATAAAAAATATCTATATATATATATATATATATATATATATATATATATATATATATATATATATATATATATATATATATATATATATATATATATATATATATATATATATATATATATATATATATATATATATATATATATATATATATATGTGATTAAAAAAATAGTTTCAATTATTATTTAAATATAATTTTGCCAATTCAGTTGATCATAAAAATGGTTTTGGTGCTTATCGTGCTAGTCTCCAATGTGATAAAAACAGCACATAACAACCCCACTTTCCTTTTTTCAGTGGGCCCAAAAAAAAATATCAACCACGATTCGAACGCTTGACTACAATAAAAAAATACTCGCCAGTTTCATTATTACAAACCATTGGAAATTTTTCACTAGAATGCAGGCTCGTTTCAGAGAACGAAAAAAAAAAGTTTAAAAATAAATAAAAATAACTGACGACAAATTTACAATTTAATTATTTAAGCTTGTTTCTTCTATTCAGTATGTTGTATGTATGTATGTAGAATAATAATATTTTGTATTATTATTTTAAACTATCACTGATAAAACCTTCAATGGAGTTCGAGACGTGAAATTTTCTTCCGGAATCTTAAACTTAAATGTGTAAAGCATTTGACCGATAAAAAAATCAGTTAAATTTTCATTTATTAACTTAAAAGTTAGTTAACAATACAAAAATAAACAAATAATTTTTTAAGTCGATAATATATTCTTGGATGCTTAAAATTTCATAAATTTACCTCTTGCGGTTGATTTTTAATCCATTTTTTAATTAAAAGTGCTTAAAATTTTGATTATAAAAAATATGTTGTTAAAATCAAAATTGTAAAAAATCATTTGAGGGATCAATTTTCCGTCATAAGTGCTTATAAAAATATACATGATTAATTTGTTATGATCAATGGGGTAAATGGGGGGGTCCACTTGACGTGATCTTACTCAATTGCAATAAAGGTGATACAGAAAGGGTCCTAAATTTGATCCTTGTGATACCCCCGACGTGGGATGAAATACTAGGGAGCTAAACCTCTCGTATTGAATGAGATGTCTACGACCTAATAGGCAGGATTTCAGCAATTTTTGTAACAACAAAGTTATGCCAACAGTGTGATGTTCCGATAATAACATATAACGATCTATTTGATCAAACGCCTTTTGAAAATCCATATATACTACATCCGTCTAACCTAAATCATCAATTGATTCACTTAAATATTGAGTCAACGTTGCCAGATTGCCTGCGGCCGACTTATTTGAAACAAAACCGCGTTGCTCAACACTAATATTATTCTCAACACTAATATTATTCTCAACACTAGAATAAATACACTCAGAAACCATTGTTTCGAAGATTTAGAAAAATTGGAAACAATTGATATGGACCGACAATTTTCAATTACACTCGCGTCAACCTTTTTAAAAACAGCAATCTTCCCCAACTTAAGAAATGTACGCGGCGATTTGATAATGGTATTGAATATGTGAGTAAGTACACGAGCAAGGACACTGATACAGTTCTTAACAAAGAAGCTAGGGATACCATCAGGACTGACTGTTGGTTTATTTTTCAGTTTTGTGCGGGCGTTGATAACCGGCATTTCGGTAACTCCAACAATACCAATGTGACCATGCGTTGAAAGAGACATCACACCTGTATAATTCTTAACAGAGGGAATATAGACTGAACTGAACTATCTACCAAACGCATCTACTATCCTTCAACTGCCAAATATTTCTCTCTATTTTCTTTCTTGTTTATTAAAAAAAAAACTACATCAAACGCAACGTCATATCAAAGAAGTCGTTTCTATGATCTTACATATTTAAGTCAGTGGTTTGAAAATAAGTTTTTGTAGCAAAAGCATTTATAATTTCCTTTTTTATTTTTCGGAAATGCAAAATATTGGAAAGTAGCTTAGCGATAATGGGGACTTTGCTGCGGAAGGCATAAATCCATTAAATGGAAATGTGTTCACGTTATTCATCAGAAATATCATGCAAAATATTATTGCTTATAACGTTGCGATTATGCTGCATCTTAGAACTTCATCGAACAGATGAATAAGTTTGGATTTTTAAGGCAGTATTTTCTCAAAATATGCCTAGATCCCGTTAAATATTATGGGAAAAAGTGCATCAATATCGTCCTTTAGAAAGAAAATGACGCAAACTGGTGGTGAATAGTGGGTGGAATGTAGAGGCATGGCAAAATTACGTTATAGGCCGTTAATAAAATGACATAAATTAAGAAGTGCAAAAAGTCAGTAACGGCAAAAGCAAGGTGACAATTATCCCTAACTGTACTTTTCCATCAAACTCTTAGGAAGGAAGAAGCAAACTTTTCTGTTTGAAATACACAGGTTAAACCTAACCTTACGTTTTTCTTAAATTTGTCAGTTTCAAAATCATCATCGGCGATTGGCGATTTAGAAACTAAACTATCGCACCCGGGCATCGAAAAGTGAGACTTGCGTAATAATACTTATTTCTCGTACGTTGAAACGCCGGCAGGCTTTTATGTAAAGTTGCGCGAACCTCCCATAACAATCGAGGCGTACGCGTACAGCATCGAGGCGATTATGTCAAAGATAACGCAAAAAGTGAAAGTCGAGGAATCTTAAATGCGCCCGGTTGTGTATATGAAAACGCATTGTACAAGTACCCGCATAACACTCACCTGTCTGTTTAAAAAATTTACGGACAAAAGGTCATCTTCGACGCAAGCGCAACTGATTTATAACTGGGTCGCAATATTTTTCTATGCAATCACAGCCCTCTTTCCGCAATCGGCGAAACGTCATATATCGTCACGGACCAAAGACAAATATGCCCTGCCTGGAATTGATGAATGTAAAAACGCTATAGTAAAGATCAAAGCGCTGCGATGCTAGGCAAAGGTCCCGATGTGTTGGTTCCGAAAACGCAGACAATTCCAATGTGCGTTGTGTTTTCACGCTAAGCACTTTGTCTTCCCATCTTAATAGGTGTTGCGCAAAATGTTTTGTTGCGAAAACGCCGTTGATTTTATCGGTCCGCATTTTTGCGTGATCGCGCGGCCGTTTGTAATTTTAATTTCGTTACATTGTTGAACTCTTGACGTTTCGTGAATTAAACGGGCGAAAGTAAAAGTTTTTTATTCCGCGAGGACGAAGGTCTCGCGCCGCTTTTAACGAACCCGATGATTGACGGACGAGGGTATCCCGAACACATTATTTGAAAAAACACTGGGAATTAAACATATCGTTACGTAACCTCTTCGCCCTTAAAGTCTTACGTCACTCGTGACTATCGAATCACTTGGTTTGCCGCAACAACAACCTATGATGAAAATAATAATTTGTCGGCGTGGAAATTTGATATATTATTATGTATATAGGTAACGCCTTAACATTCCTTCATCGTTCAGCGCGTTATATAAAAAGCGTCGCTCAATCACAACTCCGACAAACTTACGATCAATGTAGTCCACTGGCATTATTAAACATACAAAAACATTAATAAGGCATTATGATGTCCTCAAGATTACTTGATCGTACTCTTTATTAGCTATTGTTTAGCGCGAGATTTATAATCTAACCCAAATTATTTCCCAAGCCGTCTGACCTATAAATAGGTATCTAGTTACCAGCGTGGGTGTTGTTAAATAACCGGTCAACTAAAAATCTGGTAAATGGGGCTTTGAAATTCTTGTTCTTTGTCGAAGGCCTACGTTGAGCACCGCGTAATCAAAGCAAACGGTTTTGTTTACGCTTCACAAAACGTTGGCACAAATAATTTTCGCGAACAACACGTACGTTCACTTTAACAAGGTTTTAGCTTTATAGGGACCAACTTGTCATTGTATTTCAATTGTTTCCAAAACATAGCGGCGCTAGAATTTAATAACATAAAATTCATGTCACATGCCTACCGATTATTGCGGCAACTCTTAAGAGTGCATTCATAATCACAAAAAGACCTTACCTCGTGAATTTCCCCAGACGAACACATTTTCCAATAATAAAATAAAAAAGTTTGTAATACACTAATTAACTAGAACAAAGTTGCTTTTTTTAAATCACGGACAACTGAAGACCCGCGAGATGAACACGTGTAGTATAATGGTTACATTTTAAATCTATAAAAAAAAGTACTGTGCTTTATTGAAAAAAAATAGAATTAGAAAGATATAACCTGGGAATAACGGCTCAGCGTTACGTTATAACGGTGTAAACTTGTCCCGTTTAAATCATTTTTTACATTTAAATGTAATTTTGTATTCGATTTTCTATTAGGGTTGGTATATAATTTTCACCTCAAATTGTGTCTTGCTCATAGGCAACACAAAATACATATCCCATCACATCGAAAGAAGAACTTACATTAAACATAACCTCGCTTTTATCAAACTATCTAAGGAATCGATATTTGTTTGCAAATAAAAGGACACGGAGATATGAAAATTCAAACCAAATATCAATTTAGCTTGGAGAAATCTTCTTAGGGAAATGGGCAAAAAGTGCTGCGTGCCTTTTTGTCACACGGGTTACACAAAATACAACGAAAAGCATCCCATGTATGGGGTTCCCAAAAATGATTTCTTCTTGGATAAATGGCAGGAGGCTATCGCGAGAGCGGACCGTCCTATTACCCCCAACGACTGTGTTTGTCAGAAACATTTTAAAGCCGACGATTTTATCCACAGCAGGGTTGTCAAGGGAGAAATAGTATGGTGGTTAAGAACCTGTAAAAGTTCAATCTATGTTGTTTAACATTGCAGGAACAGTATAAAGTACCCAAGTTACGACCCGATGCTGTTCCCTCAATTTTTCCAGATTTTCCAGAGGCTATACATGGTACTGTGAGGAAAAGAAGAAAACTACCAGCTGAATTGGATACTGAGCCGAAAATAGGGGATACTGAAAGAGTTTATGTTAAAATTAAGTTGGAAAGGGGGGAAGAAGGAACTAATTTAGAAGAACAAAGTAAAAATAACAGTTCTAGTCGTTATCTAGTCAGTAATGTGGAGGATATTAAACAAGAAGTGTTAATAAAGTCTGAAGATGGTAATATGCAAGAGGAACATTGTTCAGAACAAATAAATAACATCAGTAGGGAGGAGGAAGTTTCAGATTCAGGCGATACAGGGTAATACTTTACATTTTGTTCCATTAATGCAGTTTTTGTAAATTTAAACTAACGTTTATACTATGGACCATTTTGTGGCTGATATTTGTGATTCTCAAAGAGATTGTTACACTTACTAATTAAGTTGTATATTCTTCAGGGTTGGTACCTTCAAGTGCAATCATTGTAACTACAGGAGCAAATGGCTACACAATGTTCAAACCCACCAAACAAAGCATCTGGAAGGTGAAGAGCACTACTTTCGTTGCAAATTCTGTCCAGATTTTAAATCAAAATGGAGGAACACATACAAAAATCATATGAAAATAAAACACAGTGTGGGAAAGTACCATCCAGAGTATCTACAGTGTCCCCATTGTGACTATCAGACAAAAACAAAAATCAATTTTGGAAGACACATGAAACAACACGAATTGAAAACTATGAGTGAGAAATTTCAGTGTGAAAAGTTTGAATGCGAATTCAGTACCAATAGCAAGTCATTGTATACATTTCACATGAAGACTCATAAGGAGTACATCCAGCAGAACAAAAGTATTCAGTGTAAGGAGTGCCTTTTTGAGGCGGACTCCAAGAAGAAACTGAAAATTCATGGGAACACCATGCATGGTAACAGTGGTGGAGTATTGGATTTGTCAAGCAATGCTGGTGTAAACATGATATAAGACAAAAACATCAAATATATAAGGTAAAGGTTGAAAATATTTTGAAGTGTTTTACAAAATGGTGGGAACTCCACATTAACTATATTTTTTCCAGATTAATTCTTTTGTTTATCTAGTCATTTTTTTTTAAATTTACAATTGTTTTGTTTATATAGTTTATTTGTTTGAATTATTGTCATTGCAATTAATAAAAATATATTAATAATAAGTTATGCACAACATATGTGGTAGTTCCAGTGAAGATTTTCCTTAATCCCCCCCCACATATTAATTTTGTGTTCAGCCTAGTTTTGTTAATGTAGACTGTGACTATTGGCAGTCTAATTAGTTGCATAGGACTGCTTATGAAAAATGTATAAAATAAAACTAGAAAAACAAATTTTATTTTACACGATCACAAAACAGTATTGCAAGAGACAGGGTAAAACTATACAGATTGAGTCCTACGTGGCTAGTCTAATGCTACCTACATTATGTTCCTTTTTTGTCAGTTTAAAAATAGGAAATTATAGCTCACTACGATTTCATTTAACCTTAAAACTTATGGAATGTCATATAATCAGTTAGTCGCTACACTATAAGAGAGACAAGTGTTTTTTTTTTACACATTTCCGGATTATTTTCTGATATGCCACATTCTGGGTATCTATACCTAACAAAAATATCGCGAAAGAAAACAAAATGTGATGTCCTACCGGGTTCCCTTTGGAACAATATCCCGTGGCGAATCTACAGCAGCTACATTCATCCCGTTTAAGTACGTCAAAAGATCATGTTTAATGATAACAATTTAAATAGATAACTAAAATAATATCCTTCGGCGGAAGTGGAAGGGGAGGGTGAGAAATGGAATTGTAAAGAAATTGGACAAAATTCAATGTGTTTGTACAGAATGTGCAGGAAAGTGTAAGCAATGATTGGCATTTGCATAGAATAAGACCTCTTAAGATACAGAAATATTTGTTTAGTATGCCAGTTTTGATTAGTGCTTATATTTTCACCACCCTGTATGATGAATACTCAAAAATATTATTTGCATTTTTATCCGTCTCAACAATTTCCCGCCCTGGTTTATTTCCTTGTGTTTCCGAAGAAAACACTTGATACCTACGATTCATATTTAAAGTCCCTTCTTAATAAATGAAATAATTCCTTTATTATTATTTGTACGTAATCGCCAGTAACGCAGACATCTTTTTTGACCTAATTGAGGCTGGGTGTTAAAAATATCAGCAGTAAGGCTTAACAGTGGGTCCTCGGCATAACAAAAAAGCTAAATAAGCTTCTAACCAATTCCAACTCTTCTACTATTTACTATTGCCCTCCACATTAAATATTTATTAAATTATACAAAGTTCTGCAAAAAAAACAATTTCCAGCGGCGTCCGTGGTATTGGCTGCACTTTCCTTACCGTCCTGTATGTACACATAGGGAGAGATAGAGAGAGAATAAATTACAGCAGCTAATCGCGGAAATTGCTCCTGCGAGCACCAGAAATCGCGGAACACTCTCTAAACAATTAACTACACCATAAAACTGATAAAATATACACCTCAGTTAAATATGCCGACGACTCAAAAAATAAATACACTGCAATATATTAAAACCTATACATATATATATATATAAATCTTCAAAATAAAATATTTAAAACAAAAAAAAAAGTTTAAAAATATTTTGTTCTTAGAGACGAAAACAAATTCGAGATAAAAAAAAATTGGTCGAAATAGTATGAAAACAAGTGTGGGTGTTGGGAGGGGCGGTGAAAACAGCGGCGCGTCACTCGTCGCAGTGCCTGTAAAAGTGAAAATTGTACTCGACGTACTCCATTCCCAATTTTAATGGCGACAATTTACAAATATTCTGAAAAAGAAAAAATCGCATTATTTTTCACCCCCGCTTGCGAATCGCTAGAGGCGGAAAATAGCCAACGCAGAGACGCAAAAGCGGCGTTGTGTTTATGTCTTATCTTTTTGTTTTCTTAAAATAAAAAAAGTACCAATAAACTAGGAACAGTAAAAATATTTTAGAAGGTATTTACTTTTTTTTTAATTTTCTCAATATGGAACCTTCCCAAAAATAACGCCATCAGCCGCATTTTTAAAAAATGGCCTCGAGGAAGAAAAAATGTGTAAATTTGCAATTTATTTTTAGATCGATATAATTTAATTACAAGTATAGTCAGGAAAAACAACATTATTTTCCAAGCTGTTTTATAATAACAGCTATAAAAAGATAATAGGTCGATTCTGCGTTTTGTGTAACTTAAATTTTGCAGAATCTGCAGAATCAATGGTGGCGCTGTTAATTGTAAACTAACTATAACTATAAAAAAGACAACACAAGCATGAACCTCACATGAAAACAATGCAACCGTTCCCAATTTTACTTGCAATCTGCAGTAACATTTTTTTCCGCCAGAGGTCTCATTCAATTGGAAAATCGCCAATAAATAACTGATACATTTGAACTATCTCTAACTGAACTACAATTAATAGCACAGTCCTAGTAAGCCTAAATATTTGAATAAACGCTCTGTTTTGATAAATGTATCCTTTGAATTTTCATAAAGATTCCAAAATAATAAAAATAAAATCCTTTCGTAATTAATTCAGAAAAAAATTTCCCAATTTATATGGTCTTGTTCTTTTAAAATCCCATTCATATTTCTCAAATATTGAAAATTTTTTTAAAAAAAATACGACAGCAGTGAATATTTAACAAATCTGTTTTTTAAATATTTCCGCAAGATAAAGTTGTGTCCAGAATAGCAGAAACAAACCATGTAAAGTTAACGGTGTGCACGAATGAAACCCCTAATCATAGAAAATTACGGGAAATGGTTTCTATCTCTATCGATAGGGGGCGTAAATGTTATAGGCATTTCGCTACCGATAGACATTTTATTTCCTGCGTTGGTTATTCTCGCATAGATGTGTGTGTGTGTGTGTGTGTGTGTACCTGAATTGGCGCCAACGACGCCCTATACGTCATAATCTTTGACTGAAAATCGGCCATGTCCACCTCGAATATGACGCTCTGCTGGCCGAGCAGCTGACTCGGATTGTTCTCGTTAACCTTGTGCCTTATCTTCGCCTTGTCCTCGTAGTACATGGGACTGACGTACGGGCACTCGTAATGCTTGTAGTCGTTGTAGCAGTGCTCGATTTCTCTGACGCTGAGCTGGGTGGACCTGCGCGAGTTCGTCGCCGATTAAGCGGCGTTTCGGAGAAAGTACGGGGCTTACCGAAAAATCAGATTGACGAACTCGTCGGGCATGTACTTGGAAATCGGCACGGTGTACGTGTAGTTGTGGGTGTTGCTGTACGATTTGAGATATTTTTGGGTTAGGGTCGTGTTAAAGTTCCTCCCTTGGATTATAATTGCGAATAACTGATCATCTGGAAATAATGTGAACGTTTAGCGGTGGTTAGAAGGGTTTTTGAGGATAATAAAAATTCATTTCTTTTGTGCAACATTAACCTGAGCATTTATATACTTTTTTTTATTTATTTTCTTTCTTGAAGTATCGAAACGTACATATATTTTGGAAAAAGTAAAACAAATAACTAATTCAATAACTTAAAAATAATACAAATGTAACAGAAGTTCTTTACACCACTGCATCCCTTGGACAAAAGGATAAAGGCCAATATACCCTGTATCCTAAAAACTAAACGGATGATAAAAATGTTGTTAACGGCATTTATAGGTTTAGGAAAAAGGGGCAGACTGTCGCGAAACCGCAACGGAAAGTAATAGATGCGCCCCACAAAAGTATCCAAAATGGGAATCAAAAAGCACTACTTTTCCTCTAACTTTAAACATCTGCAAGTTGAAGAGAACGAAATTTTGCATTGCACTTTGCGCATGAAGGATTTCTTGATTTTTCATTAAAAAAATACTCTTCAAAAATACTCACCGGCCAAGTCGAAGGAGTTAGCTTCGTCGCTTATGTCGTAAGTGTCGCGCCTCTGCCTGATCTGCTTGTCGATGTCGTTCGAGTGGAACGGCTTGGCCACCTTGGTCTTCTCCAGCGGATTCTGCGGGTTTTGCTCCTTCAGAGTGATCAGGGACGGACCCGCCCTCGTTTTGTTCAGCGTCGGGGGACGTTTTTCGGAATACGCGGCGGCGGCGTCTTGGTGCCGAGGCGCTGGCGTCGCACAACAATAGATCCGACACAGGCTCGAGCTTTCCAAGTCCTGTTCGACCGTCAGGCATTCGGTCGGTCTCCCGATGATAAACGACTGCAGCTTGATCAAGTTCGGGTCCAGCGTCAGTTTGGTGATTTCTGGAACGCGTGCGCTTACAAAATAGTGATGAAATGCCTAGAAATCGGCGGCCGAAATAAACGCGCGGAAGAAAAAAAAAAAAAGAAAATCGTCGAGGATAAAAGTAGTCCCCTCCTCTTTGTTCTACTATCTGAAAAGCTCAAAAGGGTTGTGTTTTAAAAAGCTGTCTGTATTGCGTAAATCAATAGTAAAGAAGGTGCAGAATAATAACGATAAGGTTGTTGAAAAAATTACAGCCAAACAACTTCGTCATTTCGCTTAGTCGAAATTGCTGACGTTTTGCCAATCATCCTGTTGGCTTCATCAGAGCTTGACTGAAACTCTTGTCTCATACTCTTGGACTATAGCAAAGCGTTCGACACCTTGGATCATTTCATTCTCGGCAGGATATAAAGGGTTGCTCCCCAGGGGCGTATTCTGTTCACAGTTTATACTCTACTTTTCTTAAATTTTGAAAAAGTCATCAATACGCCGATGATGTTTAGTTATTTGTTGCTAATGAAGCTTTAAATGCTGCTACTAAAATAAATTTGGATCTCAAAAAAATACTTCGGAGGTGTCTGCATCTCATAACGTCTTATTGAATAGAAACAAAACGCAGATGTTATTATTTAGAAGTAAAAGGGAAGAAATTGTAAGAAACGCCTCTTTTAAGACGTGACGGCGACTTGCGGTTCTCTAAGCATGTTGACTCAGTGTTGCAAAAATCGTTCAATAAGTTGAGGGAATTGTATATCCATAAACATCTTCTCAGTAAAGAAGTCAAAGTTAAACTCTGTGATATGTTAGTTTTATCCCATGTCGCTTATTGCAGTATCGTTTATTGGACAGTAATCCAAATAAGGAGAGACGCCAACGATTTTCAGTCTAGTTATAATATCAGAAAGTAGGACCACATTTGCCAGTGCATCTCTGATTCGAGTTGGCTCAAGCGGGAGGACCGTTATGAAGTTCAGTTAACCAAATTTGTTTTTTTACTAAACTCCAATAAGACTCTGTCGTACTTGTATGCAGATGATATGATATTCATAATCGATAGACCCGCCACTGTTTGAGATACTGCATTCCTAGACACATTTCGGTAACTTTACAGAGATCTTTTAGCTATAACGCGGTTAAAATATTGAATGAAATACCTTATGCTATAACGCCCATCCTCATAATAACGTCCTTCACAAAAGAATTACTATCTACAAAAGCGTATGGGTTTATGATGTACGTCTATTCCTTGTACATACGATGTAGGTATATAATATACATCAAAGAGTATAAGATAGAGGGGAAGGCTCCCATTAGTGGCGATGTTAAAAAACGTATGAGTTTCAACGCGCGGGACGTACGGTGAGAAAAAATAATTTATGTCGAAATAGTTTAATTTTTTTTTACTAAAATATAAATAAAATGCTGTTATCCGTTACAAGCTACTGTAGTATTTTCAGTGTTTACTTCAAACCGCCACGACAGTACTTTAGTACTTGGACACAAATAATGGCATTCGTAACAGTATACCTTCCCCTCTATCTTATACTCTTTGAACACAACCTAATAAAAAAAATTAGATTTTTTTTTTAGAATAAACAAGAAAGAAACTAGTCAACACAAAGTATTTAATACTACAATACATGCTCTTTTCCGAACCTGTATTGCTACTACGGTTTAAATTTTGGCAACGGGAGCCTCACTCCGTCGTAAGCAGAATTCAACTTTATCGGTGAACAAGGAAAAACGCTATTTCTCATCAATTGCACAAGGGATAAAGTAAAACGTCAAAAGAGGAGGCGCAAATAATAATTACTGTTTTAAGGAGTGTAAAAAATATAACGTAATGACAGTCATTCAGTAACAACATGCTATGGTATAATAAGTTTTCAGAAAACCAAAAATTTAAATTTGTGAAGGTAATTTTTACTGTTGTACTGTATAAGGCGTTATTAGACTCTTTGATATACATGTGAGTGCTGTTTTTCTTGGGATTACATGGAACTGCGCAATTTGCGAATGTCGCCACCCTTGCATATAGTTTTTAATAAAGACAGTTTACTATTATTATTATTATAAATTAAAAATGATGGTGTTTGAACAGTCACGAGAGATTATTGCGAGTATATTTAATAATTTTTCATTAATTACCGTCCTCCCGATAAGAGTTCGTTGTTTTTCGGGTCGGCGGACTGGGCCACGTGCTAAACGGTTTGGGTCCCTTCGTCGGGTGGCGCGTGGTCAACACTTTCTGGACGCCCTCTACCGTCGACTGCAAGATTTCGCTGTGCCGCGCGGTCTCCAGCAAATACAACGTCGTGATTGCCGCCAGGCTACAAAATAATAATACAAGTCTTTATTTATATATCTATAAACAATCAGAAATAAGACAGTATAAGAAGGGATGGTGGCGAGATCTAGCAAAGCCACACTTAACCACTCTAACTCGAGAGGTTTTATGAATTAATTTATAACATTAACTTGGTTGTATCACTATCAAAGAGGGGTTAAAAAAGTTCATTTATACACATATTAACAACAAAAAACTCAAATACATTTTTATAGTTAGTCACTTTAATGGAACTGAGGTGGCGCAAGGAACTACAGAAATAAATGAAATAAAAAGAAACAAAAAGGTATTAATTGGACAGTAGATTAGTTTTAAGACGAATCACATTCTCAGGAAGATATATGGACGGACTACAGTGGATGAGGAAACAGGACAATACCGAATTAGAACCAACAAAGAACTGGAAAACTTGTCCAGCGAGCCATCCATCTTAAATGTTATTAAAACACACAGGCTAAGATGGTTAGGACATGTCCACAGATTCCGAAACGAACGTCTTATTAAATGTATTTGGAATGAAAATCCTTCCGGAAAAAGACTTTAGGGAGACCTAGACTAAGATGGAGAGACAATATTACCACCCTGACCTGCACACCCTGGTAGTAGAGAATTGGAGAGAGGAGGTCACGGACAGAGGCAAGTGGAGGCAGGCAGTACTTGCAGCAAAGGGTTGTGAGCTACAGAAGAAGAAGAGAAAGAAGAATCACAATGGCGCGCTTCCAGAGGTAGAGGAATTTATTACAAGTTATACAGCTATTGACCAAAAAAACAAATGGGGAGTAATATAATTTATCATTTTGATATCAATCCCATCACTATGTCTTTATCTTTCAAATGACAAACTCCCTCAGGTAACCATGAAATATTGAAGTAGCATACTTGTGCAAGTATTTATTATTGCTTTTATCAATGTCAATATCTGGAAGCGATTTTAAATTGCGCCAAAATCCACCTGAATCGATTTTAAACTGATGCTGGAGATACGGTTCCTTTTCAATTCTTACGGTCACAGTAGTTAATAACATAACGCAGACTTACCAAAACGCCATGATCAAAACTAGCACCACAATGACCACCTGGATGAACTTGTTCGAGCACAGCTCTTCCTCCCGCTCGCAGGACTTGCACGTGTGGTGCTTCGAGCACTTCCGGGTGTGCGGGTACGAGTTTTTCGTGCTGACTGCAATAATCACAGCAAACAATATGTAAGTGCGAAAGCGAAAATCGTTATTAGTATAAATAATAATATAAATAAATAAACCACGCTCATAATGACCGATCCGCGCCCCTCCACAGTACCTGTACTGTCGGACTTCAGACTATCGCCCCTCTTCAATTTGTTGAGCCTCCGGTTGATCCTCTCGAGCTGGTCGATCCTCGTTTCCAAGTTGTCCGTCACCTTGCACAGTTCTTTCACCGCCCCGATGTTTTCCATGAATATCCGCTCCTTTAAACCAGAAGAAACAGCGTTACTATTACCTGCGGGAGATCGTACGAATGCGTACCTTGTTAACAACCAAAAAGTTGTCTATCGAGGTGCCGTTGTCTAGCACGAGATCGCCCGCCGGTCTGACAGCTTCCGGCAACACCTGCGCCACCTCTTGCGCAATGACGCCAGTATCGGCGAACTCGCTATCCCGGTTCAGCTGTGACGCCAAGGATGGTTCGTATTCGTACCTACAGGTCATTATTTAAGGTTATGTGAAATATGCATCGTTGTAAGTCAAAAACATTGATTCGCCAACTTGTCGAAAGTTATTTCGAAAAATTTTAAATAATACCGAGGAAAAGATAACAATAGGTAATAATTATCAATGGCAACAGATAATTTTTAAAATGTTCGTATAGTTTGTCTCAATCTTCATTGTGCTGGCTTTTGCATGCAATTATGAAAGTTACCTGCCGACGGCAATAAAACTCGGGTTCGGTAGGTATTAAAAGCCAAAACTTCAGGGAGGGACTCTCAAAAGTTTTATTATTATTTTTTTTGTTCATTCAGGCGGGTATAATCACATCAAATTACACTAAGAAAAAACAATGACATTAAATATATACAATAAATTCCTAGCTAGGTATATCTACACATAATTACATTTTTATGCTAAATGTCTAAATCTAATTCTGCTTAACTATCAGAGTCGTCATTCGTATAGAAATGTAAGAGTCCTCAATTGGCATGTATTTAATTACATTTTTTATCATATTTATAACACTGGGATTTAAAGTAGGAATAACATTTTCTGTTCTGACCTTTGATTTTACTTGCAACTGCATACAAAATAAATATCATTTACTAAGAAATATTCCTGAATTCAGTTTTTGAACTTGATGACGCTGGGGCTTTGCGTAGCAGACGGTTGTGGTAGCTTGCGTTATCCATGACAGTAATACTGTTATTGGGAATATATTTTTTCTACTCCCGTCTGTAAAATCCCTAATTACCCACCGATCTAGCGTGCGGGGAGCGTCACTTTACCACGTCAGTTCCTTTCCTCCAGACGATGAAACCCTGGAATTCAAAAGAAGACGTATGCTTTCTGCATACGACAAGCTTGCTTCTACTGTCAAATAGAAGAAAGGTCAGATTGAGTATTTAGATCATATGAGGAACTAAAAAAAAGGCAAAGCTCCGCTTGAAATATTTTTTGTTTTTTGATGATGAAGTGATTAATTTGATTTTAAATCTTACATTGCTTTGCGACTTTTAAAAAATGATAAAACAATTACTCAAAGAAATCTTGCACCTACCATAGATAAAGTACGTTATGATAATCACCTGATGATTGTTCATGCTAATAAAGCCCGAAGGAGGTCTAGAATCTGCCGCAGCGAAACAAGTGTAATGTGCATTTACGTACTTCATGCTTTGTAAAATGAAACCTGGTGTTACCAGTGGTGCGCTCACGCACCATAAAATATTATGCGTTTTTTTGTATCAAATCAGGTTCTATTTGGAAAATGTTTCGAGTTTTTATTTTATTTTTAGACACAAACGAAATAAACAATTTCAGAGCAAAATAGTGTTTTTTTATTTTTTTTATGTTTGGGATAATATGGGTTAATATTCTTTGCAGACAACAGCAAACATTTTGAGATAAATCTGTCTTCTGATCCAGCGTGTATTATGGTGATGCGTTTTCCTTAGTTGAAGGTGCTTTCGTCTAATGGTTTTGAGGGGAACCGACCCATCGTGTGTATAGAACCATGTTTCCTCAGGGTAAATTATGGATCTGTCGTCTCATCTATAACTTTTAATTTTTTGAAGGAAATTAAATCTCCAAGTGCCTAATATGTGTGCATCCATTACTACTTGCCTTTTGTCTATTTTGCTGTACTTAAATTCCATTTTACAAACTTCGCTTTGATAAAGACAATATATTCTCCTTCTTATGGGCTCCTCTTCACTATTGTCTATATGGTAAGCTTAAAAAATCACTACGTCTATTCCTTTTCTTCAATTATCCACCATTAATTAACTTCTTCTTGAATAACTTCGACCGATTAAAGTTTCGTACGTATTTTTCACAACCTGTTTTGCATCAAGCGACAAATGATTTCAACGCGACATTCTTTATCGAAAATCACAGTACAAACGGTGAAACAAATAGTTGACACTCAAAAAATATATCAGAAAGAAAGAAATATACCTGGATCACCCCTGCCTTGTCACTCAAGTAAAAATAAGATTGAGTCAGACTATACCTGTGGTACTTTGGTACGCCCCTGTGCATTACAAAATGAATTGGAGACCTTCGTAAATTTTAGCCAAATATGGCTGCAATTACGATTTAAATTCAAAGCGAGGAAGCAAAAAAGACACCCCTCCTCGCCCAATCACTCACTTGACGACCCTCAGTTTTTGTACGTTCCTCAGTTGCTCCGCCGTGTTGCATTCGACGATGTTTTTCTTCGCTCTGATGTCGCTGGGCTGTATTATGTGGCCGGTGATCTTAATATTGCCGTGAACAACCAGAGACTCGTCGGGACGGTCGGTATTGATGCCTACCTTGCCGCTATGACACACCGAGTCCTGGAAATTTCAGATTCGGAATTACCTTTCTGTCGCATTCATTCCGTTCAAGACCGCACCTGAGTTTGTCCCTTCTGCCAGCAGAGCTCCACGTCGCTCTCGAACTGACCCGGATTTGACGCCTGCGAAATTAAAAGAACGCCCGACGATTCGGCAACCCTGTCCTTTATTCTCGAACATTCTTACCCTCACGATGATTTTCTGACTCGCGTGGCTCACCACGGGAAAGTTGCCATTCGACGTGTGAGCGTGGAGGCCGACCACGAGCTGTCGTGAGAAAGATGATGCGTGACAATTCGTAGCTGAAGGGTGACTCAAAAATATTTGCAATAAAGATAAATCTTATGAGTATGAAATAAATTGACCTTTTACCATTTCACAACTTTTCGATCTTACTCTGAAGCACTGCGCTATTCCTTGCGTTAATTTTATATGGGTCTGAATTTCAGGAGTCAAAAAAATGCAGATCAGGTGGCAATCATTCCTTGGCTTGACATAGCCGCCAGACGAGAACTTTAGAATCAAAATGTTTTGTACAAACAAAACACAAACGATGTTGCCAAACGTATGCGAACTATCTCTTTTCTTATGGGATTTTAATCGAACGTTGATATGTGCTTACCTGGAAATATCGCTGTTCCGGATTCGGTTTTCCTTTTTTCCTCATATTATTCGACGTGGTCTCACTGAAATGCAGCCTGCCCACCGTTACTTTCGTGACTTGTGAATTGACCAGCTCCACTCTGTAAAATAATGTTTCCTGATGGCCATGGGGCGAGAAGAATTATTGAACAATATGTTAAAAGTGGACGCAGAATTTGTTGACACGGCTAGAGAGACAATTTTTCAGTATATCATTCTCCGAAGAGTAGTTTTGAAGCAAACGAAAACAATTTGTAGTGCTGTGAAAAACAATTACAATACTCGGACAAATGGTGTATAGACTATTTTTTGTATAGACTATTTTTTGTGTTTGAACTGACGAAATTAACAACGACGATAACAAAACTGACCTCACAGCTCATAGATGAACCAATCAGAGGGCTGTTTTTTTTTTCTATGATGGTCCTTCAATGGGTTTTTAGGAAATCGGAGAGATAGCGATCATAGTATGGAAAAAAATTGATAATAAGTAGCACTTCTAATTGGTCCGCTGTATCCATCACATAGAAGTAAACAACTTAAATTTGTTTAAAAAAATAGATAAAAGTGAATTTCAAGTAGTGATTACATATTATTTATTATTAGTATTTGAAAAGGTTGACCCGGAAGGAAATCAAAGCAGAGTTGGACGACGTTCATGGCACGTGTCATGAAACTGTTTGCAATTGGATGAACAAGTTTAAATGTGATCATACGTTCACTGCGATAAAGAAATCGACCAAACCAATGCCTATTTTGAGAAAGAACGCGCCTTTTAGATAAATTAATTGAGTAAAACAGAATATTTTTTGTTAAAAAGTAATTGAACGACCCTCGTATTCATACTTTTTATCCAACTGCAACAATTTTTGGCGCTTCGGTACTATTTTATAACAAAATTTCAGAGCAATTTCTCTTTTCAATGCTATACTGTTGCCCTTATTAACGGATTTTTTTTCGGTGTGTCCCTCAAGCTTGGGATTTACTCGGGCGACGTTAGTTCAAGAATACTCTCCGTTAAAATTGAGCTTAATAAAATAATTCCCAGAAGAGTGCAAAATTTTGATTTCAATATTTATATAGTAATTAGCCATTGAAGCACCACTACAAAACTGAGTTCTCCATAAAATTACAGTAAATTATTGGAAAAGAATCTGTAGAAAACTCTACTTTGCAGAGTAAATCGAATCGACTTTTCTTTATTTTTCCGAAATGGCCTTACGCGAGGCAACACACAAGTACCTACTTGTTACCACCTGCCTTTTTTGTACTGCCCCGTTGTCCGTTTAGTATTGGAATATGCCGGCCAGGTTTGGTCCCCTTTTTATAAAACTCACAAAAATGTTTAAAAAAATTACGTATCCATTAAAAGTACCAAAATTTAATAATTATACCATGCCATTATTACATGCATTTATGCAGGGTTATTCAAGGTGAGTGTCCCATTAGACGTATATGGAACGAATATGAGCTACCTATGTAAAATATTTTTGGCCATGCGGTGTTGCCACTGGTTACGTTTACCAACTTAGTTTTTATTATTTTATTACATTTTTAGATTTTGACAAACCTTCTGGAACATTTTCGGAGATAAAAATATTTTTAAAAAAATTTGGCAATAAACAATCCGATATAAAATAATTTTTTTCGTAAGCCGTACAACTTAATACTTCAATTTTTCATATTTTATACTGGCACGTAAATGAGCAATTGCATTGCCATCGAAAAGTACCAAACTATGGTATATCTATTTTCACTGATTTTCGAAAAGAAAAAAATATTGCAATTAAAGCAAATTATTCATTTTTCATCTGGGTAGCAAGCTCTGGTCGGTGTATTTCCTTCCAGTTTCACTGTAACAATCATCATCACAATCATTTGAATACGCTAATAACGGAATATTAAGCTTATTTATGTCAAAGGCAAACTTGTTGACAAAAAACGTTACCATGGCCGACCAAAGCCTGCTATCCAGATGAAATGTGATTGCTAACTAACCAGTGAACATAGATATACCATAGTTTGGTACTTTTACGAGGGCAACGCCCAAATTTCCCGGCCTGAATATGAAAGAAACAAAGTAGAGTAACTTTTTTAAAATTATTTTTCAATATAATCCCCCTTAACTTCAATACACTTATTACATCTATTAAAAACTCAATCAATTAAAAAAATATTCTTTTGGTTTGTCTGCAAAATGATCTAAAACCGCCCCTTTTAACTCAACTTCGTCGTTAAACCGCCGTCCACGTAAGTCCTTTTTCAAATATCCAAACAAATAATAGTCGCAGGGGGCCATATCTGGACTATAGGGAGGATGATCTATCTGTTGGAACCCACACTCTAAAATGGCAGCTTGTGCAACACCAGCAGTGTGGACAGGTGCATTATCGAGCAAAAGACGCACGCCTCTGGTCAGTTTTCCTCGGCGTGGTATTAGATTCTTTAAAATATATCAAAAGAATTCCTTCAAAATCCCAAAAGATCGTGGACATCACCTTTTTTGTTGACTGGGAGACTGAATCTTCTTGGGGGTGCTTCACCCTTACGACGCCACTCCATTGATTCTTTTTTCGATAGAGGGTCATAATAGAGAACCATAGTTTCATCTCCCGTCACAATAGTTTGTATCACAGGCTTCGGTCCCGACCCACAGAGTTCCAAAAACGGCGTTGTTTTTGAATAGCCGAAAGGTTTTTAGGGACCCATCTTGCATTAACCTTATGCATACCTAAATGATCAATGCAGGATTCGACGAACACTTGTATCAGAAAGCTTAGTAATTTCTGAGATTTCCTTGACCTTTAAACGACGATCGCCCAATACAATATAGTTTAAAATGCTGTCAATAAAAAACTATTTGACGCAAGAATTCAATTTTTTTTTCGCAGCCTACTAAGATATATATTTAAAAGAAGACAATGTTTTATCGTGATACTGGAGCTGCATCTATGTTACGCCAGGAAATTTTCGCGCTAACCTCGTGGATGGCAAAGTAAAGTAAAATATGGGGCGGTCCATTTAAAATTCCCACTTAACACGGATTTTTATATCTTGCCAATTGGGCCTTATGGACGCCCAAAACGCGATAAATTAATTCTCATACTATATTATGATAAAGCAATTTAATAGGGAAACGCATCCAAAAATTCAAGTATTAAGATATACTTTTTTTATATCGGGGTGTTTGTTGTCGAATTCCTTTATCTCCACAAACGTTTACGATAACATGGTACATGTTACAAGTTCCAGAACGTTTCGCAGAATCTAAAAACATATCAACGAAAGTTGATATATACTTTACGAGTATATCTGGCAACACCGCATGGCCAAAAATATTTTACATACGCAGCTCATATTCGCTTACAGAAGACTTACATATGACTTATTTGAGTCAATGTCGGGTGTAGTGAAGTGTAGTTTTGTTCTTTAAAAATTGAATTTTAGAATTAATCATTGGACCCGGTCCAAAGATTTATTTTATACTGGCTGTGGCTTAGAAGTTTCTGGTAGTGAAAATGTTTAAAAAATACTCTAAAGCGCATTCGACCTAGTTAATAATAAATAAATCAACTGACAGCACGGGATGGAACGGCTTCTTGCTGCGGTCGCTCTGGCTCTGCTCGACCCTGATCGTCTGCGTCGGACAGTCGTGCTTCACGCCGTAGAAATGCAAATGGAAGCTGGATATCTTCTGAAAGCCGTCCGGCGTTTTGACGAACTGCGCGTCGCCGAGCAACTGCACGTGACACGTGATCTGAAAGTGGTTCTTTTTCTGGCACACGAACGCGTCGTCCGCGTTGGAAAAGTTGAACCCCTTGTCCGCGTCCACCCTGTAGTGCGGCGTCGGTCTGAAAACCAAAACGGGGCGAAACGTCATTGCGAATGCGCGCGCAACCTCCACGCGGCAGCTCACAGTTCGGTGAGGTTTTGGTCGCACAGCGTGTGCCAGTTCGGTTGCTGAAACGAACTGAACCGGATGCACTGGTACTGAGATTCTGATAGGCACGCCTCCGACGAAGCGTACTCTTCGTCAATAGACGCCGCGAATTGTTCCGAAGGGCTTAGCTGACTAGTCGAACAGTTTTCTGAAATGTCGGTCGAGTGAACTTGGGGACTGGTGCCATGAACCAAAGACATCAATCCATAGAATAGCTTATGAGAAAAAAGCCAACGACTAAGCAATGGCGCACGTAGTATTGGGACTGGTCAATTGACCGCTTCTTAATTGACTGGTTAACGGTTGACGGTTGTGATGTTCAATTTACCTCTTCTAGAATATCCAAATACGATACTTAGCGATTCGGGGAATCCCAATAACAATATAGACTCCATTTGGTTAACAGAAAACGACGCGATTCTTCGTATTGCATCGAAATCGCGCTTATTTTTTAAGACACCATATATACAGAGTGATTCCAAAACAAATGCTAAAAATTTATGGGGATGAATTCGTGTTCAAAATAAAGGGTACTTCATTAGAATTAGAGGAATTCTAAAGAATTCAAGTGGATTTTTTAAGGAAATCTAAAAAACCACTTTTTGTTTCGAGATATTTTTATTAACTGTGGAATTTGCACCGAATATTTTTGGTTCTCGCTTAAAAAAAATAATATTGAAATACACAATCGACCGTGAAGAATATGTCGCTCCAAAACGTTCGCTTCTTTATTCACGGTCGCGGGCTGCAGCGTTACTTTAGTCACGGGTTTAAGAGAGCTGTAACTTGTAAATACCTTGTAACCTAACACAGCCAAATGTAATGTATTTTTTTTCCACCATGAGTGTAGCTGTGAAATGAATTTCATCTTCTTGATAAAACTCTCTCCCGTTCTAACATTTTTTGTGACTTGGCAGTAACATTCGAATCGAAAGTATCCTTTGTTCCTCATGTTAATAAGGTACTGGCAGAAGTCTCAAAGAGCTATGGATTCATCATACATTGACTTTAAAAATGCAGAAGTGATAAAAATATTAAATAATTCAACGTCACGGAGTATGCATCAGTAGTTTGGTCTCCTGGGTACAATTGTCAAAATGTCAAATTGAAAAAATTTAGCGTAAGTTTTCGAAACATGTTTCGTATAAGTTGGATGGAGTATATCCCCCCCACACATAGATTTGCTTATGTGTCTTTTAGTAATCGTCATGATTACAATTATTTAATGACTATTTAAAATTTTAAATGGCTTGTTTTGGTCTAAATTTTTTGGATCCTCGTATTAACTCTAGATATAGTAACACTTTCTTTCTGTCCACACCAATAACTAACATTTTAAAATTTTCACCTATACAATGCTGGCACAGCAGGTAAAAAGCACATTAAATAGTTGTAAAAACCTTATTACCCAAAATCTGAAATACAAATTGCAGACATCTAATCCTACAAATTATATTGTATATCTAAAATTCATAAACCTGGAAAAACAATGAGATCTATCGTCTCAACTATAGGTTCTCCCACATATAATATTTCAAAGTGGTTGCAAAACTTGGAAATTTAAAACATCAAAAAGAAAGTTTTTCTATAAAAAACTCGCAAGAGTTTATTGGTAAAATCAAAGACGTAAGGCTAAATGAACATGAACTTTTAGTATCTTTTGATGTTTCCTCATTATTTCCAAGCGTTCCTATACCAGAAACTTTGGAATACCTCAGGAAATTACTCGAATATAATAACTACAGTACAGATACAATTGAAGAGCTAATCACTCTGACAAAGCTTTGCATGAGTCAAAATATTTTTCTATATAATATAAGGTTGTTCGGAAAGTCATTTCGTTTTTTCCCGTCAGAGGACTTAATTACGTTTTTTCGAAACCAACTTCACACTTAAGCCGCATAACCATTATATGTCTTGAGAGCTGATATTGCAAGGCTTGTGTGTGAAAAGGTTCTATTAATTCTACGCAGTAGTTTTTGGTTGGTGCCCTTTTAATTATGGAGAGCAATAAGCAGCATTTTCGTCATATTTTACTTTTTTACTTCAGAAAAGGTAAAAATGCTGTCCAAGCGAGAAAAAAATTGACGGATGTGTATGGAGAAGGCGTGTTAACAGTACGCCAGTGCCAGAACTGGTTTGCAAAATTTTGATCCGGCAATTTTGATGTCGAAGATGCACCACGGTCTGGAAGGTCGGTCGAAGCTGACAAAGATGCGATAAAAGCATTAGTTGATGCAAATCGGCGAATAACCACACGGGAGATCGGTGAGAGATTAAATTTGTCGAATTCGACTGTTTATGGCCATTTGAAAAGCATGGGCTTAACCTCGAAGCTCGATGTGTGGGTGCCCCATGTCCTTACGGAGCGAAATTTGTGTCGTCGCGTTGACGTGTGTGATTCGCTCCTCAAACGTCAAGAAAATGATCCATTTTTGAAGCGGATTATTACTGAGGACGAAAAATGGGTTGTATACAACAATGTTAAACGCAAGAGGTCATGGAGCGGAAAACATGAACCGGCTCAAAGCGTGTCAAAAGCCAACATTCACCAAAAAAAGGTGATGCTCTCCGTTTGGTGGGATGTCAAAGAAATCGTTTTTTTTGAGCTTTTGCCGGACAATACAACGATTAATTCAGAAGTCTATTGTCATCAACTGGACAAATCGAATGATTCACTTAAAGAGAAGAGGCCCGAATTAATCAACAGGAAGGGTGTAGTGTTCCACCAGGATAATGCGAGACCTTACACAAGTTTGGTCACTCGCCAAAAACTTTTACAGCTTGAATGGGACGTACTGCAACATCTACCATATTCTCCAGATCTGGCGCCTTCCGACTACTATTTGTTCCGGTCCCTGCAAAATTTTTTGGATGGCAAAACCTTTACCTCAAATGAAGATGTCAAAAACCACTTGAACCAGTTTTTTGCCAGCAAGGACCAAAACTTTTAGGAGAGGGGAATTATGTTACTGCCAGAAAGATGGCAAAAGGTGTTGGACCAGAATGGCCAATATATAATTTAATAAAATATTTATTCATTATACGAAAACTGTCTTTCATGTTCCCCAAAAAAAACGAAATGACTTTCCGAACAACCCAATAACAACTATTATGAACAACAAAATGGCACGGCCATGGGAAATTGTTTATCTCCTTTCCTGGATGAACTTTTCATGCATCATTTTGAACATAATGCTAAAGAAAATTTCCTAGGATATGGTATAGATATGTCGACGATGTTTTCGCGGTTTTTGATACAACTTGCATGGATTTAAATGACTTTATTTCAAACTTGAATAATTACTTCCCATCTATTAAATTCACACATGAAATAGAAAGTAACATGCAGTTGCCTTTTTTGGACGTTCTCGTTATCAAAAACAGTGAAAATCATTTAGTTTTTGACATTCATAGGAAAGACACTAGTACTTTAAGATACATAACCAATGATTCTAACCATGCTTTTCAACATAAAATGGAAGTTTTATGCTATGAAGATAGTTTTATCGATAAGTTAATTAGGAAATTTAGATTTAAAAACAAACTTCAAAAATCAACGACTTCTCAAGCTGATAAGGAAAATTTAAAAGTAGTATCAATTCCTTTCTCCCCCCAATATACAAGTGGACTTGAAAGAGTCTTCAGGGCCGCAGGTCTTCGAAGTGTCTATCAGTCCGGATCAAAATTGAAAAATATCTTGGGTGATCCCAAGGATAAACTAGATACCCTTGAAAAGTCGGGAATTTATGAAATATGTTGTAACGATTGTAACAAGTCATATGTAGGGTAAACCAAAAGATCAATTAATGTAAGGAGGAATTAAGGAACACTTAGCACATTTAAAATTTGGTAGATTAGAAAAATCAAGTGTAGCCGAACATACGTTCAACAATAATCATAAGGTAGATATAAGTAATTTAAAATTAGTTAAACATGTAAATAATAGTAGAAAATTAGATGCCTACGAAAGCTTAGAAATTGTTAAGATAGGGAATAAGACACTGAGCAAAGACAGAGGTCCAATCCCATTTACCCCATTATACGCGCTGATTGGTTGCGTGAACAGTGAGTAATTCCCCTTCCTACTTCCCGATGTGTATATATATATAGAGAACATTTGTTCGATTAAGTTTAGTTTTAATCTTCTCCTGAAGATGCCAACTTGGTTGGCGAAACGCGCGTCGACTACGTAAAATTGAGTTTCGGTTTCTGGTAAAACGCGTTATTGTGTGTTAATGCTGATACGGTGTGGACTTTTTTTCGCAATGTATTAATTAACTATAATTATTAATTTCAGTCTTTTCCCCTTCTCTTACTTTTTTATTAGAGTTAATGTTTATGTTAGGCTAGACTTTATGTTAAGTTTCGTCATATCATCACTATTTGCAATGCCTTTGTAACCATTTAATACTTTTTACTACAACCTACCTGTTACTTGCGTTTTATGCCTATTGTTTAAGTAAATAAATATCACATTACGCAGACATTATCATATATGTCATTTCCCAACATTTGCTGCGTTGTAGTTGCTGTACTAAAGTCAATTTATCATTTTACATTTCGCTCTTGTGGTATAATGCCTTTGGTTAGTTTAGTTAGTGCCAGTTGTCTTGGCCAATTTTTAAACTTTGCATTTTTAACTAAAACCAACCTGGTTCGCTTTTCACCAAGAGCGAATCCTGAGAGAGTTTCCGTTTCTTTGAGACCGACTGTAGATTCGTGTAGACGCCCGGCATACCGTCCAGGTTTTGTTCGCACAGGCCGCCCTCCATCTCGGCCCTGGGCATGTTCTCGATGGTCGTCCCGTAACCCAAATGGACGAGCTGACCCTTGTCGAAATCTTCTTTGTAACCATTTCGGCTAAAATTCGGCGTTGTCGACTCCGTCGTGGCCAGTAGCAACGACCTAGTGCTATCTATAAACAAACGACAACAAAAAAAAACATAAACAACGCCTCTGAATCGATGAGCAATTTATAGCAAATTTATTTTAATAGGATTCAATTAATAAAGATATAAATAATACGCTCATATTAAATTTGGAAAATAACGCTGCTATCGACTTGTATATGGACGACTGATGTTCTACCCCGAGAATATACTATAAAATTCAAATTTGATATGGTTACTACAGAAGTGATCCTAGCGATTCGTGCTAAAAAACAAACATTTTTATTTAAAAAAAAAAATATATATATATATATATATATATATATATATATATATATATATATATATATATATATATATATATATATATATATATATATATATATATATATATATATATATATATCGGCATAACAAGTGGAGTACCACAGGGCTCGGTCCTTGGACCCACACTGTGGAACGTGCTCTATGATGGGCTTTTTGCGTTTTAGATGCCAAACGGAGTGACACTAATAGGGTTTGCTGACGACATCGGCATGATTGTGGTAGCAAAGAACGAGGAGCTCCTGATGTGCAACGCAAACACGGAGCGATGGCTCGAGCAGAGACGGTTGGCCCTAGCGCCGGAGAAAACCAAAGCAGTGTTGCTAACCACAAAACGGAAGATAGGCCACGTTGTTTTCGATGTTATGGGTAGTGAGATTGGCTTGAGTGATACTGTCAAATACCTGGGAGTGTGGCTTGACAGAAAGCTAAGTTTCGCTGAGCACGTAAAGCGAACTGTACAAAAGGCAGAAAAAACGACTTCTGCGCTGTTGTGTTTAATGCCAAACATAGGTGGACCAAGATCATCCAAACGGAGACTTCTAGTGAGCGTGGTACACTCTCAGATACTGTATGGGGCCCCAGTCTGGAGCAAGATTACCGAAAATAAGAGACTAATAGCTGTGTTATCAACACTACAAAGAAAGCTATCACTGAGAGTGTGCAGCGCGTACAGAACGGTGTCCACGGAGGGAATTTATATATATATATATATATATATATATATATATATATATATATATATATATATATATATATATATATATATATATATATATATATATATATATATATATATATATATATATATATATATATATATATATGACACCATCGCTAAGGAAATATGGTCTCAAAAAGCCTGGAAATTGGATGAGTGACATCTCTATCAGCGGCGAACTAAGTTTAACTCACTTAACTTTAACCAAAGAAAATGCCCTCTGGTTGATATAATTTCACTAGAACCACATTTTCCATTTTTTCTTTTGCTTAAAACGTAACACAAAGTTTTCCATTCTTTTAATAGGTTTGGTATTTATAGCCCCGTTTAAAAAAAAAAGCTTATATTAAAGATATTGTAATTTTGAATAAATTTAATTTTTACGTTTTATTAATATAGAGCGCCCCTTCAAACTTCTGTTGTGCTGCTATTACCTTGAACTCCATCGGCGAGAACGATACCGGAATCGTTGTGCAAATCTTCCGAAATGATCCGGGTCGGTAGCAGACTTCCGCCGTTTCGCATGTCTTGCGCAACCAGAAGACGACCATCCTAAAATGGCCGCAGAGTAACGCGTTTAAAATTTAAAGAATTTCAAATCCCTTCCAAAAATTTCCAATTTTCGGTCTTATTTTTTCATTTCATTTTTCATTATTTGTATTACAAGTTAAATAGCATTTTCATAGTCTTTTTAGTTTTTAAGATACAATGTATACAATGTACAATGTACTCGTATCTCCTTAAGCTTATCGAAAACCTAAAGTAAAGATAATTTTTGTTACATATTTACTATTTTGGAGTTACAAATGAAATTTGTTTTTTTTTTTCATACTCTTTACTTTGACAAAAATATATGACGCACGTTTCCTCTGAAACATGTAAATAAATGACAATTTTCTAAAATTAAATGTATAATTAAATAGTCCATGAGGAACAATAATTAACAATTGAAAGTTTCATATTAATACGAAAGAATTGGATGTCTTGCATAGGTATAAAATAACATTATTAAAAAAATAAAAAAATAAAGGAAATCCCAGTGCAAAATGAACACATTCTTGAATAACATTAAAAAGGATCATTGGTCTCATTCTCAGATTTTGAAAAGCTAAATCAATTGCCTCCCATAGTCCAGCTAGGTCGTCAAATCGAATTTTGTATCCTTACAAAAAATCTAAAATTGAGAAATGTCGATGTTTTTGCGTCTTTCTGTGAAAAATACTATTTTATTTATTTTTAAAAAGGTAAAAAAAACATAAGTTGGATTATAACTCAAAAACAGTAAATGTAACAAAAATTATCGATAACACTGGATTCTATAAGAGTGTTATTGACTTTTTCGATTCAGTTTAAGGATAACGGACATACAAGGGGGCTCCAAAATGAAACATTTTCTAAAACGCTGTTAACACTATCTTTGGTTTTACAAAAAAGTAGCAAATTGTAACACAGAACCCACAGCGGACTCGGTACATATCAAGTTCGAAACACCCGAAATGTTAATGAAAAAATATAAACAACAACGGTAACAAAAGAAACGTCGACGACTTTCATCCTAACCTAACCTAAAAATTTGTAGAAATCGGTCGAAATTAGTGTCGTTTAAAGAAAATATTGTTACGTATTTAGAGATGTAGTGCCTAAAAGTTTGGGAAATAGTGTTCGTCTTACGCGGATGTACACGGATTCGTGATGTGTAATTCCATGAGGTGTATGTTAACACGGTTTCCGGATGTCTTGTATTCACGCTGGTAACCAGGCCGGATGGGATCGGATATCCCGTATAAGATAATTGCGGGAGCCGTTTGAAGAATCGGTCGTCATTTTCTGACAATTTATTTAGAAGTTGTTTCCGTTTTTGTATACGTTAAATAACCTGGAGGACGATGGATTGGTCCAGACCCTTCTCTTAAGAAAGCATTCTTTAGGTGTGTAAGCTGGCCGAATGACCTTATGCAGTCGTGGCCATTAGAAGTTAAGAAGAAAGAAGAACCTAGTGGTTCCAGTACGCAGGCGTTTACCTTGGGCAGATGTCATTGGTAGTGTTTGTACAAGCGTTTGTAATTGATGTAAAAAATTATTGTTAATTAGAAAAAAACACACTAAAAAACGATTAAAATATCGATCAACAATTTACACGTCGACTCAAAAATGCTTGAAAATCCGTACAAAAATTAAAATGTCAATTTCATTAGAAAGGTAAATAAGACCATTACGCTTGCAAAGAGCATTTAGGCTATTTAGTAGTTCTGAAAAGGATTAATGAGGATGGAGTATTAATCACGGTGACGTAATAAAACAGTAAACAAATATCAAAACCGAGTCATAACATTTAGCCGCTCACGTTATTAATTAATTAATTTTCGATATATATCAAAAGTATTGCAAAGTTTACGGTATCATATTTCGTGGAAGGGTTACTACAAATCGCGCAAAGCCACAAGTAAATATTCTCAGCGAGAAGTATTTATTACTGCAGTGTTATGTCATTGGAATTTTAGACAATCAGAAAAATTAACATGGTTTCTTGGTTAAATATTTTATAGAACGCATTGGTAAAACCCACAATCTATATGGATACTTAATAGACGTATTATTTTTCTACTGTCAAGTGTTAATTGATGTTTATTCTTAGCCATAATGTTTTACTACTTTATCCGTCAAACAGAAAACTGCAAATCACAAAACCTATTAATTTGTTATTCACTAATTTTTGCTCTCATGGGAAATTATTTTGCGTCTTATTAAGTCGAAAACCTTTTATATTCTTCATAAAAAGTTCTGCGTGGTGTAAAACCTAGAATATTACCATACGCATTATTTTTTAGGAGTATACGAAAAGCGAAAAGTAGTATGAATTTTGCTCAGGATTAAAGTACCTCTATTGATTTGGTGTAGATATCGAATCACACCCATTTACGAAAATGTTAAATTCGGGTATTTTAAAAGTTGGATTCATATGAAACTTTAAGAGAAAAAGTTAATCTTTATGAAACGTTATAAATCCTAAAATATAACTATAACATTTTTTCAGCTGTATACGAGGTTTGTTGAAAAATAAGAATTTTGTGGAAGAGTAAAAGAAAAAAAACTAATTTGGGTTTTGGGTTATGTGGACCAAAAAAAAATTGCATCTGATGGTTGCACCTTAAAATTTAGACCATGCAGAACTTTTTAGTTTTTCATATGGGGGGGACGACTTAATTAGACATACTGCAAATTAAAAAAAAAGCACTCCTTGGCGAACATTCGTATTCGTGTGCAATGAATAAAAGGGGCAAAAAAATCTGGAAAAAAAAACGGCAGGGCTGTATAAAAATGCAATTCTCCACTTTTCTTTGCGAGATTTAAATGTCCCTTGCCTGCAAAATGTTCGCGCCGTCCATTAGCTGGTCGCCGTTTTGGTCGGCGACGACGATGTGCGAGCCCAAAATCAAATTATCCGCCAGTATCGGATTGAGTATTGCGGGCTTGTAAATGCCCTGTGCGAGGTTTGTGTAGATGTTATCCGCGCTGCTGATCGGCACGTCGCAACCCTCTTCGGGACTGTACGGGTGCTCCGAGCTAGAGTCCGGCGGACTTTCCGGTAGAGAGTGCCTGAAATCGAAACCCCATCGGTGAGTGCGTTAATTTGAATCGAAATGACAGCATAGAATAAAACTACGCGATGGATCTGGTAAACCGACAAGCCAAACCTGTAATTCTTTGCCCTGTTCTGCAATCTGTACATGAGAGGAGTAATTTTGGTTAGGAATCTATAATTTCCATTAGTAACACTTCCTTTATCCTTTATATGAATAAAGCTTAAAGCGATGTATTAACACGCTAAGAAAAATTGAAAACTCCACCATAACAGTTAACGTAGAGTGGATTAGTTTAAGTAACTGGGCATTTGACTTTGCGAAGAATGGTCATCGGACAGGGACAAGAATGATAAACCTAATAGGATTGCCCAATCCCATTCGCCAAAATTATCGATCGCACGTGATCGCTTGTGACGTAAGCGAAGTCCTCTAACGGTTTTTGTGTATTCTGTCAATGCATTTGAAGGCGTATTAAACCGTTGTATTTTATGTTCTTTGAACAATTAAAATAATTTAAACTAGTGAGTAGTGCGTTTATGTTTGTGTTAATTGTATTTCTGTAAAAAAAACTTGGACAAAACACTGTTTTTAAGCTTTAACAAATTCTTTAAAATTGTATGTGCTTGAGTGGCGAGAACTGGGAAAAAGAGTATTTTTAACCTTAAACAAAAACTTAAAAGTTTTGTGTTCGTGCTGCTTATTAGCGGTGTTATTAGTTAGGAGGTAAGCTCAAAATATTACACATAATAATATAGGTAAAGGTAAGAAATACATTTCTTTTAACTTTTTTCAGTGGAATATTATTATTTAACCAGAAGCCACCAACAGAGGCAGGAGTATCTAGATCAAAAAGCCGCAAGTGAAATTCTAGAGAAAAATTCGTCTCCAGAACCCTCTGGCATGGGTTACCGGCCAAAACCCATCTCCGAACCCCAAATAATAAATTATAAAGCTAAATGTGATACCCGCAGAAAAAAAAAATTAGAAAGTATGGTAAAATTGTAAAATAATTTAAGATTTAAGTATATGTAGTAATATGTATTTTTTATATTATGTACATATGAGGGTACCACCTATAAATAGTTGTTATGTATGCCTAATATATTTTTTGTTTTTTAATATGTTATAGTTATTTGATTTGAAATTGGTGGAAATTTTGGTATAGATTTTCTTTGAATTTTTTTAAATTTAAAATGCACGAAAACCGCCTAGGAACGTGTTAGGGGCCTTACAGAGAAACCTTTGCAATACTCAGTGACCATTTGAAAATAATAACGGTTTTGTTGTGATTACTTGTCATTAATCCACTGTAAAAGGTGAAGAGGAAACTGTGTGGAATAGAACCTAACCTAACATGAGAGTGTTAATTTAAAATTAGTATATTCATTATTAATAAAGTTATTTTAGTTTAATACATCAGTGTGTTCATAAATTCACAATAGATTATTATAGGTTATTATATTAACATGTGTATTAAACATGTAACGGCAAAATGAATACGTCGTCGGTGGTATTTCCACAATTAAATGCACAGAATTATAATAACTGGAAGGGAAACAGATTGAAGATACGTTGGAGAAGGAAGTATCAAATAAAGGTATTGAGAGAGAAGACAGATTTTAAAATAAGGGATGCAAAGGCAAAATCAATCATAGTGCAATGTGTAAGTGACAAACACCTTGATATAATTAAAAATTCAACGACAGTGAAGCATATGTTAAAAGCATTAGAACATGTATTTCAGAGGAAAAGTGTATTTTCGAAGTTAACTTTAAAGAAGAAGTTGCTAACAATAAACTATAAAAGGAACGAAAAATTAGAGGATCATTTTTTGAAATTTGACTCTGTAATAAGAGAATTAGAAAGTATTGGGTCTAAAATCGAAGAATCGGATAATGTGTGCCACTTACTTTTGTCTTAATGAGGACTATGATCCTGTAATAACGGCGATTGAAACATTGAGACATCGAGATTGTTGGACGAAGAATTAAAAATGAAATCAAAAAATGGGAATAATATTAGAAATGATAATGAAGTTACGTTCAAAGCAAGCCAATATGTGTGTTATAAATGTGGCAAACAAGGTCACAAATTTTTTGAGTGTTTACAGAATAGGCATAGAGATAGAGGTAGGTTTGCTACAAATTACGGAGGTTCACGTCGAGGTAATCTTAGGTATAGTGCGAATGCAAACGAAATAAAAGAAAGTGATAAACAAGTCGCATTTATTGCATTAAATAGTGTGACCTTGAATGACAACATAAACCGTTTTGTTTTGGACTCTGGAGCTACTGAACATTTAGTGACAAGTGAACTGCAAGACTATATGACAGATATACAAGATTTAAAGACAGAAATAAAAATAGGTACGGCCAAGAGTGGGGAGACGTTGGTTGCAGAGAAAAAGGGAACAATGAGTGGTATTTGCCAAGGTAAAAAAATAAAATTAGAAGCTCTAATAGTTCAATTCCTGTGTCAAAATTATTAAGAAAAGGTTTTAAAATAATATTTGAAACTGATAAAACAATTAGAAAACATACAAAAATAAAAACACAACAGGGTCAAAAAACACAAAAATTAGATGTGATAATGGTGGTGAATTTTCTTCAAATTATTTCAAACCGTATTGCAAAAATAAAGGTATTGACATTGAGTATACGCTGCCATGTAGCCCGCAGAACGGTAAGTCTGAGCGTATGAACCGAAGTTTGTTAGATAAAGTAAGAATTAAATTTGCTGAAACAAATTTACCCAAAGAGTTATGGGGAGAGGCAATCTTATGTTCAGTATACGAGTTAAATCGGTCACCCACAAAAGCAAATGGTGGTGTTCCTCCCTCGACAAGATGGTATCAAAATAACAATAGGTTTAAATTGGTAGGAGGTCTGTCCGCAACATTCTTGAACATTAAAAAAATTCAAGATAAGATAAGAGAGAACAATTCTGAACATCGCATTGGCTACATTTTACAAGTAATACGACATTTGACCATTCGAACAGTTTACCTACAGATATTATGTATGTGCAGCCAGCTTGGCTATGTTTAGCCGTAGCATAGCATATGACAACTAAAAACATTCGTGGAAGACCTTATTTGTCACTTTTACTTTGCTGGGTATATATTCTCACGCTATTATCAGCGTGCATAATAGGTTTATCGCTTTATAAACAATAAATAAACAATTAACCGAACGTAACCTTTTTAAAATAGGAAGGGGGTGGGGGTGGGGGCGCGCGAAGGGGACACATACCCATTGCTATTGTTGTTCCTTTTGTTCTCGACGATGACGTTCAATAGTTTGCCGGACGGGGGCGGGGCCGCGCCGGCCAGGGAATCCCCGAAATACGGGTTGTTTCCCTGGGCGTTGTCGCCGTTAATGAAGTCCTCGAGCTGCGAAAAGTCTAGCGCTTCGTTGTCGATGCCGCCCACAAATTCCGTTCCTCTGCCTGCGACAATTTTGAAAGAAAATGTTAAAAAAATGCGTCAAAATATCAGGACCGAATATTATTGATTGTTAACGGACTGTTTAGAACGAACCATTAATATACGTCGTTAAAAACAAAACTTTCGGCGATTTGTCGCACGTCTTGTAAGTAATTGCAAAAAATATTAAAACATTACTAAAATCATCAATAATACTTGACCAACGAAGCTCGGCGTAAGGGACAATGAGTCGCGACCGGTAACCACGGCAACCCTTAAACAAAAGATCTGATTTATTGAACAAACATCGCGGTCGGCGACGGGATTAGAAAGTCGATCGACGTGGTTTACCACTGGACGCGAATCCCTCAGCCACGGGTTGATATTAAACTCTTATCGTCCGTGATACTTACTGTCAAATAAAGTTTTGACATTACATAAATCTGATTCGATTTTCCAATGCGTCTGCAGCTGTCAAAAAATGGTGACAGTTTTTAATAGTCGTCAGTGTGACAAATACGACGTATTTAGCGCATTGTTAATGGTATTTCAATAGAAACAGAAATAGCACATCATGACGCAGCACATCTGAGGATATTTTTCGATACAGCTGTAGAAAAAATATTGTATACTCTATATTTTATTCTCAAAATATGCCTAGACATCGTTAAATGTTCTCGGAAAACGAACTAAGTCTGTGAAAATCGATGTTTAGAAAGAAAATGGCGCAAAATGTAGGCTAATGCGTGAGCAAAAAATTATTCCTATACGAAAATATCGAGTCACACAAGTTAAGGATTCGATGCTAATCACCCGAGATACTTTTGATTAATTATTTACGTAATATTAAAGAAGGGCGTATCAATAACAGGAGTTGAAGTAAAACTAAGAGATTGGCGAACTTTCAATGCATATAAATAAAATAAAAACAATGGAATTTAGCATCCTGGAATTTAACTGAAACAGTTTCAATTAAAGCCAACGAGATGGTTGGCAAAACGTCAGCAAGTTCGATTTATCAACAACCTACAGAGGAGAAATCCAGATTTAGAAATTGTTGTCTGTGGAAGTTTCTTTAAAAAATTAAACCAATAGGAAACGAACATTTTTTTTATTTCTTTAATACATTTCTTTATGTATAGAAATAACGCATACCAAATATCAAAACTCAAAACCCAATATTTAAGTTGCAATTCAAGTTGTGGCACCCGGCTATTCCTTTTAAACGACACTAAACGCGCGAGAATGATCGTGACGTCATACCGCTGCTTTTCGATCGATACGATGACATGTTATAGTGTTATTCTCAGGTTATAGGCCGAGAATTATATTATTTACAATTATTTTTGGTTCGTATAAAGCGTATTTGTATTTAACCGTCATTTTGTTGTCCTCTGCATGCTTTACATGATAATAATGGAGGCTACACAAAAAAAATATTACAAATCGTGCGATCGTTTTTTGTTAACATTATGCTCAGGTGTCACTTTGGCTTAAACTGTGCAAACAGTTTGAGAAGATGAAGGCGTTGTTGTTCTCTAATGGCTACGGCTGGTGTGTAGTCTAACGAATTTGTTACAAGAAACTACGAATCTTTTTTTTTTGTAAACTGTGGTTCTTTTAATAGTACAAACTTACTTTTATAAGCATTATTTTTGAAATTAAAATTTCCCTATGGAATTAGTGACTATTTTTATATTTACTCAAGGCTTAAAAAATATCAAATTCAAACTTAACGATAATATTGATAAAAGATGGTAACCGTTTACGTTTTTTTTTCAAAATGTGGTCTATCGTTTACAATTTTTGATATAGATGACTGAACTGGAAATTCATGTTGAGACGTCACATTTGCATTTGTAGAAGTGTAGGTATATTAGATGCGTGTTTATGAATTTAGAACACCCATACATGGTAGAATGTTCAAGATCACTTTTACAAGTTCATTTCATATTTCATATCAAAAATCCCTTGTAAGAGGATAACTTCAAAAGAAAAGAACAGAAATACATAGAAAAGAAAAGACACAGACATAGTCCCCCTCCCCCCCAAAAAAAGTCACATTTTATGCACTTGTTTGTGATATCCAACAAATTATTATTTAGCTATTAAGAAGGTCGTGACATAAACATATATTGGAAATCGGATACTCTGTACACTGTACAGGCTGTCAGGTTTGTTTTCTGGAGAAAAATCTCGCTGATAATAGGTAATTCAAATAATAAAAAATACAGAAAAAGACACAGAGGGCGTTTTAAATTCGTGAAATATGCTAATAACTAGCGCACTAGATACATTTTAAAATATTTTTTAGTGCATTAATAAGCCATCTTATTGTCCAAATAAGGTTAGCCTATCTTTATAGATCAACCTCCAGAGTATTAGTTCTAGATATACTGTTTTAAAGTTTTCTAAGGCATATTTTTCAGGTATGCGTTTCAGTTAAAATGCATCAATGTTAATTAATGTGCTAAAATTTAGTTTTGGTTAGGAATTATTATATCTTTATAACTCCAATTTTGCGATATGGACGTGACGGGTGACGTGTTGGGGGGGTTTTAGGGCAAGGATATACATTCTGTTTCCACACAATATGAAGAGAGTGGTAGTTACACCTTAAAACTCTTCTTAGTTTATTTTCGGCAAATTATGATAGAGAGAGTTTATTTTACATAATTATAAACGAAATACTACATTCACCTCGATTAAATATACTGTTTTCGATATATCTTCATTGTACTACCTACATTAACCTCCACAAAAAAAAACTGGCCGCCGAATAGTTTTTAAAGTTTGGGCCACACTGTACAATAACGATAATTTGAAAATTAGTTAAGAGTTATAATACAATTGTGTTTTAATCAGAGAATAGTGAATTGTTGCAACTAAATTGTCGTTTTATTTTTTAAACGTCTTAGTATTTTTCAGTTTAAATAGTGTTTTTTCACAACAATATAGGAATACCTTCAGATTATAAGTAAATTTTAAAATATTGAAAAATTTTGGGCACTAGATTTCGAGATTTCCCCATAGTATGCCGTCACGTTTACGTAAAGTCCGAGGGCAAAATGTCACCTGGCAAGTTTCTGTTTCTGGTACCCCTGCGATCGTCCATATCCCAAAATTCCATACTTTACTCAACGCTTCAAGAACATGATTTATATAGTCCCGCGTTATCCCCCCAAGATGCGCGGCAAAATTCGCCCCAAAGCACACCCGCGCGGACCGGTTCAATCCGGTTTGAAATTATTTCGTTTCATGGTTTTCGAATATATAAAAGCACAAGAAAAGCGAGCTGTGTCCGGTTTTTCGATTTCCGCCAGCGAACGCGTCGTCGTCGACGTCGAAACTAGTGTCGGCTAAATTTTGTTGTTTTCGACCCGCCTCGACCCCCAAGACCCCGCGCCACCCCTTCGCCCCCTGCAATACCGTAAACAAGTTGCCAGGCAACTTATTTACCATTAAGCCTTACCAAACGGACGTGCTGCTGGTCCGATTCTCCCACGCCACGCGTCAGAGGGAAAAGGGGATTGATAAACTAATTTTTTTAGTTTACGCTAGGCCCCATCCACCTGGTGCACCGAAAAATTGGCGGATCCGTATGTGACGTTGGACGTCAAGAATATAACAACAATCCAAAATAATAATTTATGTTCTCTAAAATATTTCTCTCAGTGTATAACATTACACCCAATTTTCGATACTTATGGTGTCACTTAAGGATCTTAAAGATGGAAATGAAACTTTTAGTTTTGGAGATACTACATATAGCGTATTGCTTCGAAAAATCTGCATTTTAAGCCACTCCTGTTTCTAAATGATAACCTGTAATTGTTCGTTATATACAGTGTCACCACTAAAGTTCGCACTATTTTTTTTTATTTTTTATAAATGAGTTTTGATATATTTTGATCCTAGGTTACATTTTAAAAATTTAAAAAAAAAAATAGAAACCTAAATTTAAAGAAAAGTCAAGTACTTAGAATGGACTCAATAATTTAAAAAGTCGCTTCCTTTAAATTCATCTTAACAATTAAAAGAAAATCTTCAACTGCACCTAAAAGTTGACGCAAGGTTAACATGGTTTTAACATGTCAAAACTGAATAAAGTTTATTTGGTTTTATAACCATTCAGCATTAAACAATACAATAAGAAATTAATTATATAATTAATACACTGTACTAATTTATTTACGTAGGATTTTTTCCATGAAAAAAATTTACATGGTTTAAATGTATACAGGGTGTATATTCTTTCCCACGGAATCATAAATTTCCATTTAATACATTTTTCTGAAGAAAAAAACTTGTGTGGATGATGAGTTTGACGGAACAACAATTAATGGTAGTGATGGCAGCGCCATATAGGATACGGTCTGGATTTTCCGTATATCACAATCATATTAACTTTTTCTCCTGAAGTAATATTTAAATTTCAGAAAAATCTATTTACTGATCTGGTTTTTCTCTTCCTGTGAGTTTATTTTTTAACGGTTTTCCAAAATTTTGAATTGAAAATGTTTATTATTCATAGTCGTTTCAGCTCAAGTCGAAAGTACAATCCATTGACGGACGCATACCATACGATACTGATTACTTCAGAAATAAATTACATTTTAAAAATCGCGATTCATTTCTTAGCAAAAATTTCCAGTTTTCAGCGAACAAAAAAGCAATAGAAATAAAGATTAATTAGATATTTTATTAGTAAAAAAGAAAAGCTAACATTAAAAAACGGGTACAAAAATAAAAACATATCTGAATCAGCTGTTTGCAGTTCCATTCAGCTCTCGTACTCTGCCAAAATTTGAATTTCTTTTTACATCTTCAACACCCTATATATCAAAACTGATTCGATTGTGAACTTTTATTGATATAAACTTTTTGCCAAGAAATCAAATGATTAAGGATCAACATCTTATTCTGAAACAATAGAATGGGTCGATGTAAACTGTCTATACTGTTTTCCTTCAGAATAATTAAACATAAAAGCTATGAGATGTGTTTGGAACAGAAAAATGTG